GTAATCTACTTCCGTAGAGATACCACCTCAGAAACCCCAGGAGGGGTTCCTATGAGTTGGGACTAACTTGACAAGGCAGTGAGTTTGGTTTGGTTTTTTTGAAGGCATGTAAAACAGAAAGCAGTATATGACACATGATAAGGGTATTAATAAATGGTAGTCATTTTCATTATTAAGAGCAAAATTGTGGTCGAAGGAGTTTTTAAATGAGTATATACATTTACAAAGAAGCTCTGGTGGTGTAGTGCCTAAGACATTTGACTAACCAGAAGGTTGGTGGTTCAAACCCACCAGACACTGCAGAAGGAAGACTGGGCAATCTACTTCTGTAAAGATTTAACTGCCTCAGAAACCCAAAGGGCATTACTTTGAGTCAGAATCGACTCATTGGGCAATGAGTTTGGTTTGGTTTTCTATATACATTTACAAGAATAAAATGTGATGTCTTCTGTAATATCTACTTTCCATTCTCTCTTTCATCAAAATTACTCATTAAGTCCCCAGATACATAAATTCTCATACCCTATGTTTAAAAGTCTGCAATAATATCCTACAGAATGGGCTGAAATAATGAATGATATAGTGAAAATGCTATCATGTATCCTAGTCATCACATGGATACAGAGTCCATATTACCAAATTGGAGTATGGGAAATGTCCTTATCTGTCTTCTTCCTTCTTGTACATTCCTATTATTCAGTCATTCAATAAACTGAATTTTTACTCTGTACTTGGCATAGAACAATAAAGAAGACAGCCTGGATCCCAGCCCTTACAGAATTTATAGTCCAGTGAGAAACACAGACTGTATATATGTAAACAAAGGTAGAGGAGAGATAGTATGGTACTAAGGGCCATGAAAGAGATAATTTAGGATGATGAGAGTGGAATTAGGAAAGTTCACTTTAGATGAGGTGGTTAGGAAAAGCCTTTCTAAGGATAGAGACCTGAAGAATTATTGAAAGCCTTCTCTTCAAGGAGTCATTCATTGCTTGGGCAATTTTTTAAATTTAAAAATTTAGTTGGATAACCACAACTATACCAGTATATGTATATTCCTGACAGAGGAGATGCCTCTGGTTCTTTTCATCTCATCATCCCATGTTTTTCCTGGGCATTTTGTATTTTTTTTTAATAACTTTTTCAACATAGGAAAGTTCTGCAACATTGTTTTTACTGGCTACATGGTATTTACTTTACATTTTCATAACTTAACTAATCCCTCATGGCTGGAGTTTTAGGTTTCCAACTTTTTGAAATTACACATAGCTTTGTCTTGATTTTTCTTGTAGCTGAATCATTATACACATCTCTAATTATTTCCTTGGAATAAATACCCAGAAGGGAAATTGATGGGCATACATACTTGAAAGATTTTTGAAAAGTGCTGTCAAATTGCCCTCCAGAAAAGTTATATTTAGTTTATATTCTTACCCAGGAGTTTGCATTCTTATTGAGGGA